TCTGACATACTATAAACCTAACTTTATTTAACTGGTCAACTGTTAAACATCAGTCCCTTAAATTTTTTCACAAGCTACTGAGTGTTGATTGAAGCCCTTGGCAACAGTGCAATCACCATGAGCAGATACATGTACGCTTAGCGTACCTTTTTTGTAATTATTGCTCAAGTTCAAATTTACTTCCAATTAGTGCGGATTATACGTCCTATCAATGATTAACAATGCTAAATGATAGTTAATGATCAAGCAATAGGTTATCATTTTGTTATCATTTACTATATTTTGTTTTGTATTACTTTAGTGGCTACCAAATCATGCGTTACCAACAATAAAAATTAACTTTTGCTACTTATATGCACACAGCAATAAATCTTATAGCCAACGTGCAGTCCCAGACTTTTAACAAAGAATGGCTTTTCCGTAAGATTTATAGCCTGCGTGGGACTGCACGTAGGCTATAAATCTTGAAAAGCCATTCTTTGTTAAAAGTATTGCAATTTAGTATGTATTATTAATACACGACGAAATATACAATAAATGACAGCAAAGTACAACAGCGGAAGTGTGCGGGTTTTAGTGTTTTGAATGTAAATAAGAATCGTCTATCGTCCATAGTCCAGGTTTTAGCACATGCCCTTTCTTTATGTTCCTTTGCGCTATAGTATAATTAAAACAAAAATAAAACATTTTTTCCGTATTGATATACAGTTATATCAACACTAGTGGAAATTGCGTGGGAAAATTCGAAATTGTCGGAAAACACTCCGCCCTTCGGGCGTCGTGTTTCTACACAATTTCTCGTTTTCCCATGCAATTTCCACTCGTGTTGATATAACTGTATATCAACACGGAAAATGTTTTATAATTGTTCAATCATAACCAGATCTTTCATATTCAGCGATATAACTGTATTGTTTAATTCGTAAATGAGTCATCTGTTACCAGACAAAGAGCTCTTAACACAACATCTCAATCACAAAAACGATAGCCAAGACTGACCACTCGCGGAAGGGTGTATTATGCGTTCAACTTCCTCGTTTTGCCTTCTCACGTACGGAAACCCCGGAAGGAACCTGCAAGTAAACGAACCACAAGCAGCCCTGCAAATAATCATTTTATGATTAATTAAAACATTCATTAATAATTCACGAGGAAAATACAAAAGAAATGAAAGATTTGTCCTGATTTACATAAACTTCAACTTTGATTTTCTAGGCTTGGACAATGTTTATTTTTAAAATTGCTTCGCCAATGAACTCATCAGATGGGTCATTTTTTAAGCACGATAAAACATTCGCATCCGATCTGTATCTGATGTACAAACTCGAGCCGAAGGCGATAGTTTGTATATCAGATACAGATCAGATCGGCTGCTCATGTTTTATCTAGCACTTACAACGTTTCGGAGTATAACTCCATATTCAGATACAAAATCCGCTTTTTGACGATATAAAATCTTTTCAAGAGTAAAAAGATTTTACATCATACCCTAGCTGTTATTCTTTTTAAACCTGAAGAACCGATTAAATTCTCGGAAATATTATAATTAATAAAATGATTATTTGCTGAGCTTGTGGTCTGATTTACTTATATAGATACACAATATTTGCAGCTTAGATACAGTTCCGTTATAATTGTTTGTATAATATTAATCCGATAAATAAATGCGTGCCCAGTGAGGGACTCGAACCCCTTAATTTCTTCAGGACTTTTACAGCCCAACGCTATTATATTCGGTCGAATAGGCTTTAAAGTTTACGTGACATAAAAATCATATTATAGCGAATAAATTGAAATGTTATGCACCATCAAATTTCCAAAACGTGCCCAATCTAACAAGGGCAGATTTCCTGCTCCACCAATCAGCGCATTTGTTTACATTTTCGCTCTCAGCTAATCATAATGCAGGAAACGAGAAATTTACACTAAGAAGCTAGAAAATAGTGCCGTCTTCTCTAGCCTGCGCGCAGACTATATAATGACATATATAGTCTGCGAATCCGTGGCATGAAGCTTGTATGGTCACGTGAATTTCCCGAGAAAAGTTGGGACGAATTGTGATTGGTTGAACTATAATTATGCAGAATTAATGTTAATTCATCGGACATTGCGTTCGCAACGCGCGTTGGGCTGTTCAAAATTGACCGTTTCCAGGTTCAAATGACAATGTTTATTACAGTTGTATTTATAGAAGCGTGGCGGATAAGCAAAAAAGGCTGTTGTTTTCAAAACGGAAAGCCCATTTCGGCAAACAGGAGATGTAATATTATAGACGATATCAAATTTAAGGGAGGCAATAAAGATACAGGTATTTTCATGGGGAGTTTTGTTGATTTATATAACGAATAAGTTTGAAATCCCGAATGGTTGTAAAATCTCGAATAGCTGTAATACCTGTATCTTTATTGCCTCCCTTAAATTTGATTTCGTCTATAATATTACATCTTCTGTTTGGCGAAATGGGCTTTCCGTTTTGAAAACAACGGCCTTTCTTGTTTATCCGCCACACTTCTATAAATACAACTGTAATAAACATTGTCATTTGACCCTGGAAACGGTCAATTTTGAACAGCCCAACGCGCGTTGCGAACGCAATGTCCGATGAATTAACATTAATTCTGCATTATTATAGTTCAACCAATCACAATTCGTCCCAATTTTTCTCGGGAAATTCACGTGACCATACAAGCTTCATGCCACGGGTTCGCAGACGATACTCATTATATAGTCTGCGCGCAGGCTACGTCTTCTCGCGCTTCCGTGAGATTCAATTTTAACTTTTAAAATTTAAAACCAAAAGATTATGATGTGGTACCTTAAAATCTAAAACTTTGCCGTGGGCATTTTTAAATTTCGTCCTAGAACGGAAAATATCCGTGTTTGAAATTTTTCCCTATGTCGCGTATACAAAATTGCGTAATCTAATTTGACTGCAATAAAATTAAAAAATGCTATATTTTCTCTGCTTTACGTTTTTGTTGGAAAACTCTTTTTCGCTCTTGTTGAGAATTATTTTGGTCAATGTATTATTTCATAACCTAGAAGATAACGCGTTTAGAGAGTCTTTTTTTCTGCAAGATTGGTCGGACAATATTTTTGTATTGATTTCCCGTATGATCGCGAGCGTGCGACTATATTTTTTTTTAATCAAGCGCTATAAACGCGTTATAATTGTCGTCTAGCTTTTGATATAAAACATTGACCAAAACAGTTTGCAACAAGAGCGAAAAATAGTTTCCAACAAAAACGTAAAAGCAGAGAAAATATAGCAATTGTTAGTTTTATTTCAGTCAAATTAGATTAATCAAATTTGACATTTGTATAGGGGACATATAGGGAAAAATTTCAAACATGGATATTTTCAGTTCTAGGTCGAAATTTAAAAATGCCCAAGGCAAAGTTTTAGATTTTAATGTGCTGCATCATAATCTTTTGGTTCTAAATTAAAAAAAGTTAAAATTGAATCTCACGCATGCCCCAGGAGACGGCAATATTTTCTAGCTCGGCATGGTGTAAATTTCTCGTTTCCTGCATTATGATTAGCTGAGAGCGAAAATGTAAACAAATGCGCTGATTGGTCGAGCACGAATTCTGCCCTTGTTGCCCAGTCTAGATATATGATATTAAGATCACATAATGCTCTACACTCTCACTCCTCCTCAGACTCACGTATATCAATAATATTAATTCCACACCCAAACTAAAATTTATATACTACCTTTAATTATATCTCAAACTTCCCTTTCTTGTTATATGACGTCATGCGTACATTATGCTCTTCACTCTCACTCTTTCCTACACTATACCCCTATAACACAAACATTTTAAAATTGCAGATCAAGAATCAAGATTTCCTTCGGGACATATACAAAGACTTGAATTACAATCTGAAAAACGATACACCAGAAATATACTGCATATATATTTCTCGATGAAGAGATTTGTTTTGAGTGCGAACAATGATGACCGAACGATGATCATTGCCGGCAAGTCCGGTGTACAAGCTCAGTTCTTGGCGTACATATATATGGCGTATATTTGTTTTCGATTTTTATTAAATTGTCAATTTCCGTCCGATAGTTTGTTGTATTTTATAATATCGTAATGTTGGCTGTTTGGTCGTCCGTTAATTAGTTGCGACGGTGAGAGCGCATAGGAAACCGATTCTTCGTCGTCGTAAACGTACGTTATTAGCCGTGCATTGATTATTCCTTCAATTTCTATAAGCATAGTTAACGGTTCGTCATAATCGAGAGTCGCTCGCCCCAGGATTTTCTTGAGAACAGTCTTAACACTTCGCACGAGTCGTTCCCAAAAACCACCCTACCAAGGGTTCTTCCACGATATATTGCCATGTCACGCCTCGACCTACGAAAAAGTCCTGAACTTACTTGGATCTACAAATCCGTTCCACTTCCTTGGACGCAGATTTGAACGTCGTCGCGTTGTCGGATATCAAAACCGAAGGTAAACCCCGTCGGCTCACGAAACGTCGAAAATTCAGCAGGAATGCTTGAGTACAAAGAGCTCGAGTCAATTCAAAGTGTACTGCCCGAGTTGCGGCACATGTATGCAAATAAACAGACATAAACCTTGAAGGGTGAAGTCCCTTCCGTTGCGTTCCTTTCAGAATATACAACGGACCCAAAAAATCTAATGCAGTGTTCGCGCATGGTGGAGCGTCATCGACTCTGATTTTGGGTAAATCTGGCGTTGGTTGTGGACTGAACGGTCTTGTCTGATGCCTACGACATACTACGCATTCTCTTAGAATGCGTTTCACGGTTTCTCGTCCTCGCAACACCCAGAACCTTTCGCGCAACGTTGATAACGTGCGATTGATACCACTGTGCTTAAGGTCTTCGTGAACCATTCGACTTGTCAATTTTGTGAAATAGTGTTTGGATGGGAGAAGTATCGATGGTTTTTCTGATTCGAGGAAAGGCGCATTGTTTAATCTACCGTTGCATTTAGCATATCATCTTGCTCGACATACAGTCCTAAGTTTCGAACATTCGGCGGGGCGATGCTTTCGACTTACTTCGCAAGTACTTCAATTCTTCCGCGAAGCTCGATTCTTGAACACTCCGGATCCACATATTTTCATCTCTTAAAATTTCGGCCGCAGAGAGGTTCAAACCGTGCAGAGCAATTACCTGTTCGTTGGTTCCCTTAACTCTGCTCTTAAAAAGGGAGATAAATCGATTGACGTATGCGGTTACTCGCGGAAGCTTCAATTTATCACTGAATCGATCACAATCAATCACGGAGGCCACGTCTGGGATTTGAGAACTAACAGCTCCAACCAACACACGCGTGACAGTTTTTGGTTGTTTGACGACCTTATCCTCTGCTGCCTTATCGATTTCTTCCTGATACTCCAGCCTAGTCCCTGGCCTTCCAAGCGCGGGCGAGTTACAGGCTGTCGTGAACTTGCGGGCTGTCAGTTCCGCAAAATATCCGAACTTGGTCGCGCTGGAAGGCCTAGCAAAATTCGCAATAATCAACATGGCGGTGTACTTTCGTGAATTGGATTAATATTCACTATTGTATTAAAATGTAACAAAATGCTTTTAAAACACGTTGCCGTTGCCGTAAGTTGCCGGAAAGTATGGGTAATACCTTCATTCTATGCAGTTTGTCACAGATTAAATGATAAAGGTCTGCATGATTTTGAAAAAAGAATGATTATTAGCAAATTTTTTTTGGGGGGGGGCTGCAGCCCCCCGGTTGCTACGGCCCTGGGCAATAAACAAAATAAAATGCCAGGATGAGAAAATGTGTTGAGAAAATGAGAAAAGGTGTTGTGCCCAGATTCAATTTACTTCATTCTTTACTCTGCCTAACGCCAGACAATTTTACTCATCAGTTGTAGGGTACTGTCTCAAACTTATGTAAGAATAAAGGAAATCTTATCAAAATGAATTGCAGTGGTTTTGTGTTAATGGAGGGGGAGGGGGGGTAATGATAGGGGGCTTGATGACTTTATTAATTTGTGTTAGAGGCCTGACTAGAGAGACTACTTTTTTTTCTTTTTCAATATGACTGTGGTGTTCTGTCACTTTTTTACCAACATTCATTTTTCCTGTCATATGCTGATAAAATTAAGGCTTGCCTTTAAATTACAGATATTCATGCATTTTAATATAACTATTACTATATGCACATATACTTATCATGCATTTCTTTGTTTACCGGTACAATAGTCATTCAATTGTCATTCAAGCCAATCAAGATCAATTTCAATGACCTTCCTTGACCCACGGATTCTGACCTCAATGTTTTAAAACACTACTTCATTTCAAATTCATGATTTTGGATTCTCATATACTCTATTGCTAGTAAACTGAAAACAAATTTATTCCATATGTGTATGGGCCCATTCCCAAAATACATGCTTGTCGGGATAGAGAGGTCAAACGGATCAAACGATCAGGAGTCACAGAGTGTCACAAGGGCGGGGGGGGGGGGTATCACACGAGGGGAAAATTTATCCCTGTCTATAAAAAAAAAACAAGACCTTGCTTGCAAATATGTTGCCCTTAGAAGACAAATCAATGTTTTCTATCAAAATATATTGCCTGAGTGGGAAAGAACATAAATGGAAAGGCTGACGTGAAGGCATTGAAATAGTGTCTTGTACATACAGAACATTATTTTTTGGCATAACTTTATTGGGGTAAATAAACGTCTTGTTATAAATCAACTGCACTAATCATCGGCGTCCCCAGGTGTTGATCACCATGAGGGGGGATTTGTTACTTTTTGTAAAATTAATATCCCTCCAGGTAGGGAAATTGTTTGCATTTGGCCAGGGAGCATTTGTAATTTACCTAGAGGGGGGCAATGGTGATTTTGAGAGGGGTCACAATTTAGGGGGCTATCAAAAATTACATGAATATTAGGCAGGGAACCTTCAACAAAGTTTAGTTATCATTTTTGTTGCCATGCAAAGTTGCAAACCTTTCATATTCTAAGGATTTATGACTGAAGTTGTTATTAATAGATATGGAAGTTCAATGGTCAAGAGTATTTGACATTATAATGCATGTCAGAATTTATTATTCATATTGAAATGAAACCAATACTAATTAAAGGTCAATAGATTGTTGGAAGGGGGAGACAGGGAGTCGACAATTCACCATCCGTTGTTTACAATCATAGGGGGGGGGGCAACAAATGTGATCAACAAAAGTGGAGGAGGGGGGCTCCAGAAAATTTAAATCTAAAAACCGTCATAGCCCTCCCCCTCCTGTAAGTAAATTATAAATACCCCTAACAGGCACAGTTTACCCCCAGGATAAACCAAAAGGATATCAACATTCACATAGCAGTGGCTATTTAATTGTTCACCTTTCTGCCCATAGCCCATAGTAGTGACTATTTAATCGTTCACCTTTCAAATGTATTGTATAATATAATGTTTCTGTTAGATATGTTATGTTTGCATATTAATATTGCCCTGGCAATGGGATAGGTACTGTAATATGATTTTTGTCATTAAACTTTACCCTGTACCCAAGGGCTTTGTCAATATTTTGTTCTGTCAACCTCATGAGAAGCAGAGGAAAGTGAATATTAGTGCAAAGGGGCATAGTATATATATTTACACGTTCCATTAATGGCACCTTTTCCAACAACAAAAATATGAACAAAAAAAAACGTAACGACGTAAAAATACCAAGTCCAAAATCACGAACTGTTCAGTGTTGCCTCCTTAGAATTTGCATATTACATTTTCCTAACATTACATAAGGTAAAAGCAGCTGTAATTTCCCCTCAAAATGCTTCTTTAATACAATTTTTATTGTATAAATACTCACAAATTTATATTAAAAATATAACAAAAAATTATCGAAGTAAACTAGAGCCCACTCCCAACGCGAAGGACAAATCAGGTCAGTTCGCGAATTTTGCTAGGCCTTCTCGCTTCTCGCCTCTCCCCAGTCTCCAAATAATACAGCTTTATCCCGGTCAACCTGCAAACCTTGTCGATTTCCCCCTAAAATAATGAGGCGGAAGCGAGAAGGCCAGGAACTAGGCTGTTGATACCACAGTTTAGGCCATTCTTCCTCGGGTTGCTGCAAAAATGCAGGTCCATTCCACGAAAGGGGATTGGAAACCATCTCGTCAACTCGTATACGTCGCGATGGTAGATTGGCTGGACTCATTGCACCGGGACAATGATTCCATGACTCTTTATCCGTCAAATTTCAAATTTCCTTAAGACATTGATTTACGTATTGCTTCCAGCTCTTCTCGTTTCTATTCCAGCACAGAACAGCTGAAGAATCTGTCCAATGAAATCAACGCAGTTCTCCGACTTTATTCGCTAGAGAATTATTCACGGAACTTGACAATCGAGCTAAAATATTGGCACCGAGTAACTGCAAACGAGGAATTGTTTGTTGCTTCATTGGAGAAACCTTAGACTTAGCTGCGACTAGACGCACGACGATTACTCCATCTTCGTAAGCTGTTCGTACATAAACAACTCCCGCAAGCGCACGTTCACTAGCATCGGAGAATCCGTGCAACTGAACTTGTACAATCTTCATCATCGGAACAAAATAGCATCGCGGTACCGTTATCCCATCCAATTTCTCCATTTCCAAAAGTAACTTCTTATACAGCTTGAGCGTGTCGCCTTGCACTTCTTCATCCCACTTCGTTTTCTCTTTACATACTGCTTGGAATAACATTTTAAATCTCACTGTCACGGAACTAAGAAATCCAATAGGATCGAAAAACTTTGCTGCAGTTTTTAATAACGATCGCTTGGTTTGAAGAAGTTGCTTCGCGTAACTTGTTATCTCGGAAAACTCGAAAAAAAATTCGTCTTTTTTCGTGTCCCAATTGAGCCCTAATATCTTTGTCTTGGTCTCGTCAACAGCTTGCGATCCCACGACAGTTTCAAAGTGAGTGCGAACGTCTTCAATTACGCTCGCTTTCTCTAGTAAATCTTTTGGTTTGGATGCATTGATTGCCTCACATTCGCCAATTCTATCGCTTAATGCCTTGGAGTTAGACTTCCATTTCCGAAGGTTAAATCCGCCACATTTTATAACTCGCTTCGTTGATTCGTAGATTTCAAAAGCCTTTTCTTCATTCGCGGCTCCAGTCGGTAAATCATCCACATACAAATCCTGTAACGCTTGTACAGCCTTGGGTTCAGTTTCCTTGTGTTTTTCGAGTTGACAGTTAATTGTTGCTCTCAAGATAGCAGGACTGGGTTTCAGCCCGAAAACTAAACGACAAAATCTTAAATGCAGTAACTTGTCCGTCTCATTGAAGGGGTCGTCCATCCACAAGAATCTTAACTTGTCTCGATCTTCTGAATTTATTTCGATTTGCAGGAATGCCTTTTCAATGTCTGCTGTTAGTGCAAACGAATAACATCGAAATTTTACCAAGGTGTCAAACAATGATGGTATGAAATTTGGACCCGTGTCCAAATGATCATTTATGGACTGTTTACTTTCGTTTTCCTTCGCATTTCCATCAAATACTACTCGTAGCTTCGTCGTTCCTTTCTCGCTTCGCACAACACCATGACGAGGTAGGTAATGAGCTCCAGTAGTGTCAAGCTCATTTAATGGAACTCTTTCTACAAACCCGCTTTGTAACTGATCTTCAATTATGTGGTTATACTCTGATAGAAGCTCTGGATCCTCCTTGAGTGTGCTGACCAACGATCGTAGACGACCGGTACAAGGTTCCAAATCACGGGTTACCAACTGCCTTTGATCCTCCTTCCAGGGCAGCCCGACTTCGTACCGTCGACCCTCGAACTTGATGTCTTCCAAAAACCTCCTTTCATTTCTTTCGTTCGTTTCGGTTATACCCAAAGATTCCAAATCCAAAAATCTCTTAAGCGCATCAGTCAACGTGCGATTCTCATTCTCAGGTGGACGAGTAGTTCCATGGCCATCGATGACCAAGTTAGCAACTGTGTTAGCAAAAAATTACAGTTAGCAAAAAATGGAATTGTTCCTCGATAAGATAAGTTTTTCCTTCTATCTGCCTAGTCAGACAGTCAGTTATAATGACAATTATAATCTCAGATCGACAACTGTCACTCTAAAACGCGCTTTGACTTCGGTGTTTGTGAAAATCTTGTTGCGATCGATGTATTTTGTTAACTGATGTATCGCCTCAATCAAAGACCCATAATCAGACAAAT